GTAGTTCTCCACAAGAACCCTGAAAGCCCCAAGGGGTGGAGGGGAGATGCCTGGCTTCTAGGCCCCTGTCTGCCACTGGGCACACATTGCTGTCCATAGAGCACATCTGGTGTGTTCTGTACATGTCTGCAAGTGGGTGACGGATGGCGTTTTGTGATGTAGTATGTGCCACTCCTTTCTGAGAAGCCTACCAGCTGTGTGTCTTGGGCTGGGTTACTCAGAGGCAGGCAGAGATTCCTTCTGAGATGAGGATTCCTGTGAAAGTCAATTATTAGTAAGTGTTCCCAGAAAAGACAGATGTGTGTGTGGGGGTGAGACTAGGAAGGGAAGGGGGTCAAAGCAGGTGTGTGACACCAAGCAGGGTCCCACAGAAGATGACTGTGGCTCAATCCCATAGGGGAGCACCTGGAAAGGGAGCTGCCACCCTGCTCATCAGTTGTTGGCCCAGGGTCACTGCTGGGAGATATAAATTTGTGGGTGCTTTTGTTCACGTGCACAGGCAGGCTGGGCTCCAGGGGCCCAAGGGTGTCTGCCCACAAGGGGACGCAGGTGCTGTCTGCTGGGAGTGTAAGGGCCGGGACAGGTGTGCACAGGTGGGAGACTCTGTCTACTAAACTGTGTCACTTTGTACAGGTTCCCTAGCTTCTCCAAGCCTCGGGTACTTTCTTATGGCCTGGCACATTCTACTACTTGTATGGTTTCTTTCAAGACTCTAAATTGCTAGTTCCTTATTTATGCTGTGGTCAAATTTCTCTTTGTAACGTCTACCTACTAGTCCTGGGTCTGCCTTCTGTGGCCACAAGATCACCTCTACCCACTTCTCAAAGTTTAAAATAGCGATCATTTAACCACCAGAGGGTCTTTTTCTCTTGGACTAAAATCTCTAGCCCCTTCACCTGCTCCCTACATGAGAAAGAATGTTTCCAGTCCCCAACCTCTTAAAATGTGGCATCCAAACAGGAAATTGGGGTCACCGGTACCTCCTGATCTGAGTATTCAATCAAACCTTGTTTGGGAAAATGTGTTGGTTACCGAGTCATCATTTTCATCATCTTCAGTGGCCTGCTGTTAATATCATCTTGTGGGGGGGTACAGAAAATCAAACAGGCACACAATCTATTTTTGTGAATGTGACCAGTCCTGTGACATGGGGCAGAGGCCACTATTTTTTCCCATCTGAGTCTTTGACCTCTGACCTTTTGGAGCTAGTGAGCTTCCTCTTTTGTGGGGGTAGGGATATTGACAGCACATCCGTAACAAATTGAGAATAGTGAATTCGGAATGAGCAGGAATTCCTAACAATCCTCGGCCACACTTCTGAGAGCATCAGAACCACCAGGAGGGCTTGTTGAAGCAGGCCGCTGGGCTCTGGTGCCGTAGCTTTGAAGTTGGGCCAAGAGCTTACACTTCTTAGGAGGTTCCCAGGTGAAACTGCAGGGGACCACTGAGAACCCCCGCTCTGTTACATTTCCTGACTGCTCGGGCTCCCGCGTTATGAGTGTCCAGAAGGCTTTAGCCGAAGGAGGTAGACAAAGGAAAAACTCACCTCTGTTTTGTGTACCTGTGGCAAGAGCAGTCATATATATTCTAATTTTAATAGTGCTATGAGTGTAGAGTCAGTAACCTTTTTAAAATAATAAAATGACACTCATAGGATTTAAGTCACTTGCTTACAGTCACCTGAGGCAGATCTGAAATTGGAGCCCAGGTCTGTCTGACCCCAAAGCCCAGTCCTTCCTCACCCACCACACTGCTCCTTAAGCTGTCAGCTGGTCCAGAATGTCAAAATCGCTCATGATTAACACACACACTCTCCCCTTGGGACCCTTTTGCTGAATTGCATGTCACAAAGATAAAATACATTTCACATACACACACACAAAAAAAGGTCTTGGAAGAGGGTGAAGATAACATGGGATTTGTTTTCTAATGCATGTCTGTTACTGCTTGTAATCACATTTTCACAATTAGCTTAGTTAATGAGTCAATTTCTAATAATAGGCTCTCCATGGAGGTTGCCAGAAGCCATGTGTTGGAAGGAAGCATAAAGGAGCCAGTAATGATAGGTGATAAAGAGTTAACCTGCCCCAAACTGGATCCTAAATATCAAACAGGCACATTTTAGAGTTTTATGGTTTTGAGAAAAGATTCCCAATGCTGTTATTATATATAGTTATTTTCTTCCTCAACAGTGCATTCCAATATGGGTGAACCTTGAAGACATTATGCTAAGTCAAAGAAGTCAGTCACAAAAGACCACATATTGTATGATTCCAAGAGAGTAGATACATGGTTGCTTAGTGTTTGGGGGCTGGTAATGACAGAGGGTATGGGGTCTCTTTTTGAGGTGATGAAAATGTTCCAAAATTAGGCTCTGGCGGTGGTTGCACACCTCTGTAAAAATGCTAAGAACCACTGAACTGTATTTTTAAAATGTATAGTATGTGGATTATATCTCAATAAAGCTGTTACCCCCCCCAAAAAAGGACATTTGCAAAAAATATTTTAAGTGCCCATTGTACATGAACATTTGTAGTTTTGGATCTCTTCAACTCATACAATTATTTTACAGGTGAGAACTATGGAATTTAGGTTTGGCTAGGTAGTGCCAATCAGGGACAGTGAAGTGCCCAGGCTAGCTAGCAGTGCCACCTTGATGTGGGAAGTGAGGTGGGTGCTTGGAGGGCTTTTGTTCTAGGTTCTGTCACAGGAGGTGCAACATATGGAAGGGATCATGGACAGCAGGCCACAGTCCCGACAAGGGGTGGGGGATTCAGGGCAAATTTCAGGGTCCCAACAGGCATGCTGGAGTGTGTAGCTGGGCCGCATGGAGGGGCTGCAGGGGCACCCGGGGCCCTGTGTCTGACGGGAGGTGACAGCCGTAGGGGGCTGTGTAGGTAAAGAACTCTGGCTGCAGGGCAGCACCAGGTTGTAACGGTGGCTGCATGAGGCGGTTGGGCCTTTTCAGAAGAGTTGAGTCCACCTAGACCTCCCAGTTAGAGGCCACCCACAGTCACCCACCTGATTCCTAGGGATGTTAGCTCACAGCCTTAACAGGATGTGTCTTCAACTCCAGCTGTGTGAAAGGAAGAAAGGGAGCCGGAGACAAAGATGCAATTGTCCCAGTCAAGTTCCTCTTAATAACTCGTTACTCCTCCCACCCATGTTGCCATTCCCTGTATCTGTTCACCTCAGCATTAGTTATGCCAAAGACCTGAAAGGGGCTGGAGATGCAAAGGTCAAGAAACAGCCCCTGTCCTCCAGGGGTTGATAGATCATTTTCAACACAACGATCAGATCCTGTCACATTTGCATGTCACCATGCGTTCAGGTTGGATTTCAGGACCTGCTTCTAGGTGACCCAACTTAACACACACCTGCCAGAACTAAAAAATCTTAGCATGCTTAATATTGCACGGAAATTAAAGTATTTATATTTTCCATAAACATTACTCAAAGGACAACAATGCTCTTGGATGAACTGACAGTTACATTTTCTAAACACGACCTTGTAAACATACCCAATGTGAAAATTTTTTCAGTTGACACAGTTCATTATATCCTCAATGGCAAAACATGTTAAGGTGGCATGCTGGGCCAGCAATGAACACGTACTTGGTATGTAGAACTGGATGGTTGATGTCAAGAGTTTAAAGTCTTCCCCAGCATTTTATTCTCAAATGTGACATTTTGAATTCAACCTGAATGCATGGTGATGGACAGGTCTGATCCTATTTGGGGTTAAAAATATGCAGTTTAAATAGCTGTATTTAAACTTTATCACTTTGAAATTTGGTTTAAGTAAATTGTGTTGCACTATTTTATTTTTATCATACATGAGGTCACATAATGTAGTAGGGAGGGAGCCCTAGACTCCAGATTTCGTAACTCAATATCCAAGTCACCCAGACAAACTGTACACTCTCTGGGACTTATTTGCCACATTTGTTTGAAAAGAAAAACAAGAAATTGTGGAGTAAAGGGAGAGAGTTTGGCTAAAGGATCTTAAATATTCCTTCTAGCAAAATTCTATTAGGTTGAGTAAAGACCATTTAATATCACCATTCAGATCCGTGCACAGTGAACCAGACTGGTATTTTACATTTGCACTAAGAATTTTAGTACTTAACAAAGAGAAATCGACCATGAACCCATCTGTAGCTCTAACATTAGGAATTCAAATTGGACTACTTTTAGCCTCTGGAGTTTTAAGCAAGCCCTTGACCTGAACCCCTGCCTGCATTTTATAATTTGGCTAATTTAAGTCATAAGGTAGTTCCATCTTTGACAAGAAAGCATTTTACTAATACTTTTATGCACTTCCAGAATTGTTTCTAATTGGAGACCTTGTAAGTACCGATGGCATATCAGGCAAAAAAATGATAGAATTTTATCGTTTCTTGGGCTTTTCCCCCTATTAAATATAACTCCAATTGTTAGAAATGCAAGCTATTTCAGATACCCTCAAAAGATTCACTTAAAGCAGGTTGCCAGAGGGGTTGCATTACAAAATAGAAAAATCCATTCTAGATGAAAGCAAAACACAGAGTAGCTTCCGAATTGGCAAGAAAAGTTACAGTGATTATTTACTTGTTTAAGAGCAGAACGGAGGAGATGGGAGAAACATTTTCTTAACGTCTCAAGATTGGGGTGGTTTTAGTTATCATTTCAGTGCTGGGTGCATCTTATAAAAATAACTTCATGGGGGGGAGGGGGGCGCTCGGAAACTCCAGCCTCTACTGGGCTTTGCAGCCTTACCGCCCATTACCTCGTTCTGGCCCGGAAGATACAGCAGGCAGTAATTAGGGCAGAGCCTGGAAAATCGGGGAGAGAAACCGGAACGAATTATTTTCTTAAAGCAAGTGGTCATTCAAAGGCAGAAAACTCAAGTCACCTACAATTTCCTTGTGCGCTCCGACAAGGGATGAGCCGGGCAGGGCCCAAGAACAGGAAGGGGGCGCCCCGCTGGGGGAGGGGGCCAGGATGGGAGCAAATCCCGAATGCGGAATGTGAGGCGAGCGGGAAAGGCACGGAGTG